ATTTTTAATGTTACTCAACTTCAACAAAAGCATGTTTCTGGAGCATTAAAATATCTTGTTTGGCAATTAAAAATACAAACCTAGAAGCACTGACATTAAAGTTTCTTATTTCAAAAAGAACTATGAGGAGCCAGGCACAGCAGCTCATACCTGAGGCAGGTGGATCACCTGAGGTGAGGAGTTCAAGACCAGCCTGGCCAACATGGCGAAACCCCATCTTTACTAAAAATACAAAAAAATTAGCCGGGCATGGCAGTGGGCGCCTGTAATCCCAGCTTATTGGGAGGCTGAGGCAGGAGAATCGCTTGAACCCGGGAAGCAGAGGTTGCAGTGAGCCAAGATCATGCCACCGCACTCCATCCTGGGTGACAAAACGAGACTCCATCTCAAAAAAAACCCAATCAAACCAAACCAAACCAAAACAAAAAAACAAGAGTTATGAGCCAAATAGAAATACGCACCTATACCTCTGAAACTAGCATATCAATAATAATTCATTACTAGACATAACAAAGCATGTACTTCTATTCTTTTCCTTTGAAACATTTTTGATAGAGCAGATATAGTTTAGGAAACGCAGAAACAAGATGCGAGTCAAATAGTGGTTTTTAACGAAACTTTTAGATTGAGTTTGCTGTGATGAAGCATCTAAGATCTGAATAGGCAAAAAGATTTGGCTAAGAGGTGAAACCAGGACATGAATATGAGATTCAGAACCTATAAATAGGTCAGGGAACAATTTGGTGGAGGCTGGAAACTGGTAGATAAGAATTATCTCAATGATTCTTTATTAATCACTTGCCAAATGCCAGGCTTTATTTCTTGTTTCTACAACGTCTAATTTTAGAATACATACCTTAATTCCACAAACTTGCCCATTAGTCATTGGCTAGTATAAACGGAAGGTCTGAAACTCAAGCTTGAGTTGTCTTATGCCGAAACACACCCTTTTCCTGCTATAATGCCCTGTATTAAGTAAGGTTGGCTAGATTGACTTTTAAGGTTGTTAACTGAAAAAAAATCACACAATTTATAAATTTAGAAAAGGAGTAGACTCTTTTTTTTTTTTTTTTTTTTTTAAGGATTACAGCCTTCAAGGTGACCATCGTGCAGGCTGGGAAGCATGCCTCCTGCCAAGACCAGAGACAGGCACTTTGAAGGAGGGATTAGGGTAGGAGCTTTATGCTGAAAGAGTTGGCTACACATACATATTCAACAGGTTACAGGAGGAGCTATGAATATTCATGATAGTCCCGATGCATGCATACTGAACGAACATACATACAACATATGTTCACTCTGAAGTGGAGACTTAACACTTAAATGTATTACAGTTCGGACACACACATCAAAATGTCTTTTCAGGATACAAAAAAGAGCACGACTTCTGTAAACCAGCCAGAACCAGTCCATGGTCAATGGTCTTATCGAGAGAAAGTTACTGAAATCAGTCTCTTGTCCAGTCAAAGTTGTGGTTTTATGGCTGATGGGACAGGAGCTAAGGGTCAATTAGCATCTGAGGGAGCTGCAAATTGTTTTAATATTGCTTATCTCAAGGTCAGTGCTTGTTTAGCTGCTACAGAAAAAGAAAACCCTTATAATTGTGAACCCCAAAAATCTGAGACAGGTCTCAGTTAATTTAGAAAGCTTATTTTGCCAACATTGAGGATGCGTGCCCATGACACAGACTCAGGAGGTCCTCACCACATGTGCCCTAGGGGGTCAGAGCACAGTTTGGTTTTATACTAAGGGAGGTGACCACCCCTCATATTGTCTTATGCCCAATTTCCACCTCCAAAGAAAGAAGAAGTAAAAACTAAAATGCAGAAATTAAATCCACAGGCAGACAGCTTGGCGCCGTACCCTGGGCCTGGTAGTTAAAGACTGACCCCTGACCCAGTTGGTTATGTTATCTATAGATTACAGACATTGTATAGAAATGCACTGTGAAAATCCCTATCCTGTTTTGTTCTGATCTAACTACCAGTGCACGCAGCCCCCAGTCACATACCCCCTGCTTGCTCAATTGATCACCCTCTCACGCGCACCCCCTTAGAGCTGTAAGCCCTTTAAAGGGACAGGGATTGCTCACTCAGGGAGCTCGGCTCTTGAGACAGGAGTCTTGCCGATGTCCCCGGCCAAAACTCCTTTCTTCTTTAACTCGGTGTCTGAGGAGTTTTGTCTGCAGCTGGTCCTGCTACAATACCTTTTAGGAAGACATGAGACGGCATCAATCAACACATGCAAGATGAACTTTGGTTCAGTCTGGAAAGGCAGGACAACTTGAAGCAGGGAGGAGGCTTCCTGGTCATAGGTAGAGAATAAACAAATGATTGCATTCTTTTGAGTTTCTGATTAGCCTCTTCCATTTATACTAGCCAATAACTAATGGGTGACTCTGAATAGAATGGGAGGCAGGTTTGCCCTAAGCAGTTCCCAGCTGGACTTTTCCCTTTAGCTTAGTGATCTGGGGGTCCCAAGATATTTTCCTTTCACATAATATAGTTAGAACATAGGCCTATGTCCTGTTTATAATTTGGTATCTTATTGCCACAAAGAGTCTATTCTGTCAGCCTTATGATCTCTATTTTAACATTAATGCTGGTCAGTTGTGTCTAAACCATAAAAGAGAGGGGTATAACGAGATGTGGTTGACCTCCCATCTTGTCATGGCCAGGAACTCAGTTTAAGGTTTTTCTGGGGTCCCCTTGGCCAAGAGAGGTTTATTTCAGTCGGTGGGGGGCTTAGGATTTTATTTTTAGTTGACAAGGCTTTTCTTTGGGAAGAATAGTATATCTAGTGGGATTATATTCAGTTCCACAGAACAAACCCTGAACTTAAGTAAGGGGGTTGCTTTTCTCAGGTAGTAAGACATCTGGAGCTAGACAGAGGGTGGGTGTGGCTCCACCTTTATTGTGGGTTGCCCCAGAGTCTAAGACTACTGCTCCACCTCCTGCCTCAGGGTAACCTCACAGCAATCCCAAAGCAGGAAGGAAACATGAGGCTGAGAAAAGGGGTGGTACCTGCAACAGGAAAGCAAAAACCTTCCCAGGACTTGCCAGCTGACGTCCTCCTATAGCTCAATGGCCAGAATTGTGTCATGTGACCATTTCCTGCTACATCTCATTGGCCAGAACCATGTCATGTGATCACCCCTGCGATGACCTCTGCGAAGGTGGGCATCTTAGCTTGGCACATTGCCTCCCTGAACAAAATCTGGGTTCTCTTAGAAGTTAAGAAGGCGAGAATGGATTTGAGGAGGCAGTTAGCAGTGTCCCGTAAAGAACTGACGGATCAGGGATGTTGGGAGAGGAGAAGCCGCCTCGGAAGTACTACTGGACTCTGGATTTCTAGGAAAAAATGCATCCACTGTTGATGCATTTTGCTACAAGGAGGCAGGGAAAGATAGTCTTTGTTCCAAGAAGCTCTGGGCTTAGCTCAGTTCTATTACTGTCCCTTAATGGCAGGAATACATTCTGAGAAATGCGTCTTTAGGCAATTTCATTTTGTGAACATGGAGTGTACTTACACAAACTTAGATGGTAGAGCCTACTACACACCTAAGTTGTACGGTATAGCCTATTGCTCCTTGTACAGCCTGTAACTGTACTGAATACCGTAGGCAACTGTACTGAATACTGCAGACAACGGTAAGAATTTATGTCTCTCAACATAGAAAAGGCACAGTAAAAATACAATATAAAAGATTAAAATGCTATACCCGTGCAGAGCATCTACTATGAACGGAGCTTGCAGGGCTGGAAGCTGCTGTGGGTGAGTGCATGAAAAGCCCTAGGATATTACTGTGCACTACCGCAGACTTCATAAACACTACATTTAGGCTACACTAAATTTATTTTTTAAGTTCTTTCTTCAATAATAAGTGAATCTTGGCTTACTGTAACTTTTTTACTTTGTAAACTTTACATTTTTAAAAACTTTTTGACTCTTTTGTAATAATAACGCCTTAAAACACAAATACGTTGCAGCTGTACAAAAATATTTTCTTCTATTTTTATTCTATAAGCTTATTTTTCCCATTTTGAAAATGTATTTATTTACCTTTTAAACTTTTTTTCTTAAAAACGAAGATGCAGGCCTACACAGGGTCAGGATCATCAAGATATCACTAGGTGATAGGAATTTCTCAGCTCCATTCTAACCTTGTGAGGCCACTGTTGTAGATGTGGTCCATTGTTAACCAGAACGTCATTGCAGCACATGACTTTATTACAGAAGAAGGAAAGAATGGACAGTGGGGAGCAACCAAGGTCTCTGTCTGCCACAGTTCCTCCACCAGCCCCTGAGACAGAGTCCCCCTCAGGAGGAGTCTAGTGTGCGGACCCAAGTACACATCATCTCCAGACAGAGGGACTTCAGGGTAGTTGTTGACATGGGCTTAGGAAATGGTGGGAGAGTGGCAGGCACTTGGGGATGTTGAAAGTATCTGAAGATAAATCCAGCCTCCCAGATCTGCCTGGAGAGAGGCATTGACAGGGCAGCCTGGCTGCTCAGAGCTACCTTATCCCAGCCTTGTCACTAGCAAGATATCTCTCCTTCCTGGGTCTCATTTTCCTCTTCTTTTTTTTTCTTTTTTTTTTTTGAGACAGAATCTCACTCTTGTCACCCAGACTGGAGTGCAGTGGTGCGATCTCGGCTCACTGCAACCTCCCCCTCCCGGGTTCAAGCAATTCTCTTGCCTCAGCCTCCTGAGTAGCTGGGATTACAGGCACCCGCCACCATGCCTGGCAATTTTTGTATTTTTAGTAGAGACTGGGTTTTACCATGTTGGCCAGGTTGGCCTTAAACTTCTGACCTCAGACAATCCGCCCACCTCAGCCTCCCAAAGTGCTGGGATTACAGGTGTGAGCCATCGCGCCCAGCTCTCATTTTCCTCTTCTATAAAGGAGAGTAATAACTCTACCTTGTAGGGTTGGTGTGAGGCTCGTTTGAAGTGATGTATGTCCAGCTCCTGTTCTATACTATCCACTCCATAGACGATGGTTATTTTTGTTATGAGTATGATTTGGCCCCCATGCCCTCTGCTCTAACTCAACTCCCATCTTCTCCCTGTCAGGTATACTGACCCACTTGCCATTCCCTTATTAGAACATGCACTCTCTGCCTGGCTTTCCACTTCTCACTTTGCACACGGTGGAATCTTGGCAGAAGCACCTCACATCCTGGTGAACCTGGTAGTCCCCTGTGATTCAGTTGGCCTCTGCACTTCTCCAGGAAATTCTCTCTGCCACTCCAGGCTGGGTGAAGCTGCTCCTCAGTTTCCCTAGCAACCCACAATTATATCAGGGTTCTTATTGCACCCTTAGGCAATTACTGAGTTCCTTCCAAGGCTAGTCCAGACTCTCAGTGTATAAACCACCCTTGACATAATTAATTCCATCTTAGAAAAACCCTCCATTTTATATTTCATGGGCACTTTGCTAACAAGGATAAGATGTTTTGCTTAATGAACAGGTTTTAAAAAAGAACACAAACAAGCACACTCATCCACTATCAGTTCTCACCAGAGGACCCTCTGACTGTAAAAGAGCCAAGCCTTCAGCTTGTCTGTCTTCACTAACACCGTCTTGCAGTCACTCGTGATAAGAACTCAGAAGTTGCCACCAAAAGCTCTGCCACATCAAAGACTCTTCCTTGCAGACCACCAGGTCCAGACCAGGACTCCCTTTGTCTTCTTCGCTCCCTTCGGATTGGTTCATTAACCCTTTCGCCTATCTCTTTTTTCTCTTGATGTTAAATATTACTTTGTTTGTTGTGGAATGTTTAATCTACAACATTCATATAGTGATTAAGTATACTAGTATGTATGGTTTGCAATATTTACTGACTTATGGAGTGGCTTGAACCTATGTGCTCTGACTACAGAGTGAGCAGGAAGGACTAAGGAGAATTGCCTCCTTGGGAACTGCATCTAGCTTCTGGATTTTGTGATTGAAATAGCATTAAAAAAAAAAAAAAAGACTGACATTGTGGAGAGATACAAACGTGTATGGACCTGGTCATCTCTAATCTCGAACTGCTATGACACTCAGAGAGGTTGAGAGGCCCAGAACACTCCCCTCGTTCAAGGCTCTGCATGAAGAGAAGGAAGAAATTATGCAATATTTTATTTATTTATTTTTTCAGATGAAGCCTCTCTCTGTTGCCCGGGCTGGAGTACAATGGCGTGATCTTGGTTCACTGCAACCTCTGCCTCCTTTGTTCAAGCCATTCTCCTGCCTCAGCCTCACAAGCAGCTGGGACTACAGGCATGTGCCATCATGCCTGGCTAATTTTTGTATTTTTAGTAGAGATGGGGTTTCACCATGTTGGCCAGGCTGGTCTCGAACTCTTGACCTCAAGTGATCCACCCGCCTCAGTCTCCCAAAGTGCTGGGATTACAGGCTTGAGCCACTGAGCCAGCCTAATTGTTCGATATTTTAAATGTTTAAATGACCAGCAAGTCATAGGTGCTCAACAAATATTTGTTGAATGACAACAAATTAGCACTGTTGACACAAAAAGGGCAATGCAATGTATGTGCTATTTAATATTTGCAGATTTTTATTTAAAAATCTGAATTCACAGTACACTGCAGGTGGTTGCTTAGAAGCATACAAGTTTCAAGTTCTGTCACCCTGTGTATACTTTTTTTTTTTGAGACCTCCGGAGTCTCGCTCTTGCTACCCAGGCTGGAGTGCAATGGTGCGGTCTTAGCTCACCTCAACCTCTGCCTCCCGGGTTCAAGCGATTCTCATGCCCCAGGCTCCCGAATAGCTGGGATTACAGGTGCGTGCCACCACGCCCGGCTGATTTTTGTATTTTTAGTAGAGATGGGGACCAACGTGGACCATGTTGGCCGGGCTGGTCTCGAAATCCTGACCTCAAGTGATCCGCCCATCTTGGCCTTCCAAAGTGCTAGGATTACAGGCATGAGCCATCGCCTGGCCACCCTGTGTATCTGGAGACAACTGCCAAGTCTAAATTTGCAGAGGTAAGGGAAGGCGAAGCTTTGACCCAGTGGCCCCCGCTCGCCCTGCCTGCTGGGGAGATGGGGAGCTCCTAGGACAGGAGCTGGGTCCTCAAGATGTGGCACGAGGAAGGGGGTCGCATTAAGCCCCCAGCGGCTCCCGCACTGCGCACCCCTGGGGGGTCCCTCTGCCAGCCTCAACCCAGCCCCCTCCTAGCCGGCGGGCAGTGGCAGTCTCCGTGATATCTTTCCGTCCAGCCGGCAGGCGGCGCCCTCCGGCCCTTGTTTCGTCGGGCCCGGACGGGGCGTGCGCGCTCAAAGGTTGCCCGGCTCTGTCGCCCGCATTTCCTGGCCTGGAGCCGGCTGAGCCACAGCGGGGTCGCCGCGGGGTCCCGGGGCCGTGCTCCCCCGCCCCTCCTGGGAGCGCGCGGGGTGGGGCTGGACCAGGCCAGCGCGCTGGGCCCTCGGCCCTCCCTCGGGCAGTCACCTGGGCACGGGCGCCGCAGGTGCCGGGCCCTCAACCTTGCGGAACCGACAGCCATCGATCCTCGGGTGAGTGCGGGCGCGGGTGGAGGGCGCCCAGCGCTCTCGCCACCGGCGTCCCAGCCGCCGGGCGGCCAACTGTCCCCGCGCCGCTCCCGGCCTCCCTGGCCGGGCGCTCAGCGCGTCTGGGAGGGGAAGGAATTTCCTTTGCAGGAACTCAGGGGTTGGGGGTTCTCTGCTACTTAAGAGATCCAGGAGTGGGGCGCGGACGCCCGAGCCTCCCACCTTCGGGATGGGGATTACAGAGGAGCCTTAGCAACTGAGGTCCGTCGTGGGTTTGAGGGCATGGGGTCCGGGGAATGGGCGTGTCCCACACCCAGAGACTCGCCACCCTCTCTCCAGGGGAGATGCTTTTTGAGCATGACAAACCCAGCAAGGTTACAGAAGTGGGTGTATGCAACTCTTCGCTCTTTCCTGGCGCCCAGAGGTGAATAGTCACACACACACACACACATACACACACGCGCGCGCGCGCGCGCGCGAATTCATTGGGGCCGACTTTGCGTCCCCTCCCCTGGCCTCGGGCGTTGGGGACTGCGCCCCCGCCCGCTCCAGCCACTGGGATTAAGCCCCAGGGCCTTGCCCGGCTGTTTGTTTTTCGAGGCAGTTGCGTCCCGGTAGGTTCCTGGATGACCATCCTGGCTGGCTCAAAATTCCCTCTAGATTACCTGCGTCCACCCCCAAGAACCCAGCGGCTGAAACTCCTTTTCTCATCTGCGCAGGTGGCATCGAGGTGGTGGCAGGGCCGCCCCCTGCAGTCCGGAGGCGAACGCATTTACCCGACCTCCGGAGGCAGGTTCGGCTGGGAGGAACCTCTCCGGCTTCGTCCTACACTTGTGCAAATGCCTCCGGTAAGGGGAAGTGTTGTTTAAATCCCAGAGATAACCCCCGTCGAGAAGCATAGCAAGACACATGAACGAGTGTTTAGCTCTCAGTATTGTTATTGCTTCGAGTGAAATGGTTTCGTCTGTACTTTGTGCATTTATATATAAACATATATGTATACATTTGACAAGCTCTAAGACCGGCACTTACTTGTGATATCTCCAGAACAGAGTTATTATAGTTATTTGGAAATTGTCAGTGGGAATCAGCCTGGCTGGTATGAGAATTACAGGGAGGAGGACCTGTGTGCAATTTCAAAACGATTTAAGAGACATTCGGTGGCAATACAAGGTGCGGACGTTGGTTGGATCCTGATTTGATGAATGTTTTTTAAAATGAAGATGATGGCTGAGTGCGGTGGCTCACACCTGTAATCCCAGCACTTTGGGAGGCCGAGGTGGGTGGATCATCTGAGGTCAGGAGTTCGAGACCAGCCTGGCCAACATGGTGAACCCCTTCTCTACTAAAAATACAAAAATTAGCAGGGCGTGGTGGCACGCGCCTGTAATCCCAGCTACTCGGGAAGGCTGAGGTAGGAGAATCACTTCAACGCCGAAGGCAGAGATTGCAGTAAGCCGAGATCGTGCCACTGCACTCCAGCCTGGGAGGCAGAGCTAGACTCTGTCTCAAAATAAATAAATAAATAAATAAATAAGGAGACGATGAAGGAAATTTCTACTGATTATTTGATAGTATCAAGGAAATTATAATAGTTCTGTTTAGTTACTTTTGGTAATGGTATCATGACTAAGGTTTTAAAAATCCCTGTAGAGACACACAGTGAAGTTGAAATACTACTTTAGGATTTGCTTCAGAATTATTCAGTTTTAGATGCTAGCAGAGAAGTGAGGGGAACAAGATGAGAGGAGATTGTTCATGGATTGTTAATAGTTGAAGCTGGAGAGAACACGTGGACACAGGGAGGGGAATATCATGCGGCCGGGGCGGCCTGTTGGAGGATGGGGGCAAAGGAGAGGAGAGTATTAGGACAAATACCTAATGCATGTAGGGCTTAAAACCTAGATGACGGGTTGATAGGTGCAGCAAACCCCCATGGCACATGTATATGTGTATACCTATTAACAAACCTGCACGTTCAGCACATGTATCCCAGAACTTAAAGTAAAACAGAAATAAAAATAGTTGAAGCTGGATGGTGGTTATGGAAGTCCTTACACTATTTCAGTATTTGTGTGTGTTTGGCATTTTCCTTTAAACAGAACACCACCACCTGTGGAGCTTTTTTGCATAAGGTAGGTTTGGCACTGCAGCTGAGTTTAGATGCGAGGTCTTCCACAGTCCCTCGTTTTTTGTAAATTGGGTGTCAAGGCTGCTTCTCCAGACTCGGTCATAAAAAGTTTTTTTCTCCCTACTGGAGGTGCTGATTTATTTTGCTCAGAAGGCAGAGGGTGTTTGCTGAGTGTGACAAAGCTGAGCGGATCAAGTTGATGCAGGTGGAGGCTAGGTCAGCTTTTTTTATACAAAGGGCATTAGCAAGCCTGGGGGTTGATTGCCTCCAGTCGGGCGGATTGTATAAAGTGTGTTAGCAGTTTTGCCTAATTGCCCAAATCCCTTCCAAGTTATGCTCATCAAAAAACAGAGTTCAGAGTAGTGAACACACATGTCTGTTTACACTTAGGATTTCTGTACACTTCTGGAAGCACTGTATGCATCAATAAAAAGTGTACATGATAAAAACAAAGCACAAAATGAGTGGAGGGCTGCTTGTTGCTGTGTTGTGTTGCCTGTTTCATCGTTACCTTGTTTGCTTTAGGGATCATGACGTGTAAATATTTAGCAAAGCACTGACTCCTAAAAGTTCTGCATGGCGTTTAACACATTTTTTTCAAGAACCATGCTTGTAGGAGGGTAAGGAAGGAGTAACAGCTATATCTTCATCAGACTTGCTCTAAATTTTTTTCCTCCAGATTTAGCCTATAATTCCTACTCATTCTGTCATGCTTGGTCAGTAATTTGGAAAAGCGGTGATTCTGAGAGGGAGCTGTTGAAGTTAATAGAGGGAGGAAGGGGAGGTATATTCCCGAAAGGCAAATCCACATTTTTTAGTAGCTTCAGTATAACTGAATGTAATGCCTTTGGATTTAAGGATAAAACAAGTCAAAGAGATGAGATCCGGGACAGTTAAAAGTTGAAGTGTTCAGTGAATCTCCTCAGCCTAGACCTTGCTCCTGTAGATTCACTAATCTAAAGGATGTAAAGATGTTTTAAGATTCAGTTGAGGAATGCTGAAGCATGTCCTAATTTCACTGCTGTGATGGGAAAATAATGAGACAACCAACAAAAATCCCCTTATAGTAGGGGGAAATACCACAGTGAATTAATCATGGTACTTAAATGAAGTGAAATTGTTTGGTTTGTGGCTCTGTTTTCTTGGTATGAATAAAAGAAGTGTACAACTGTCATGTAACTTCATTTTATACCTCAGTTTCCTCTCTAGTTCCCTAAAAGAGCATGGAAAGAGAAAAGAAACTTGCCAGGCCCTTTAGTGACCAAACTAATGTTTACTCTCCTCTGTAGGAGGGTGGTAGATTTGGACTCTGGAGAGTTGATTGCTAATAGCTATTTTAAGGACTTACCACAAATGTGACACTATTTCGCCCTGATTCGCATTATTAAGGATATAAATGCATTAGAAAAGCAAATTGCTCCCCTGTTGGGCTAGAAATGATAGGAAAGGGTGTTGGCAATCTAGTCAACGGTATTCTTCTAGATTCATAAGCACTTAGCTTTCATGTACAGCACCTCATCCCATCCTGTAAGGCGGAGCAGTGGTGATAGAGGGTAATTTTGGTTTTTAACAGATGGGAACATTGAAATATAAGGAAGTCAGCCTGGGCAACATAGTAAGACCTTTACTCCACAAAATAAAAATAAATAAATAAAAATTAGCCAGGTATGGTGGTACACGCCTGTAGTCCCAGTTACTCAGGAGGCTGAGGTGGGAGGATTGTGTGAGTCTGGGAGGTCGAGGCTGCAGTGAGCCGTGATCACACCACTGTACTCCAGCCTGGGTGACAGAGCAAGATATTGCCTCGAAAAAGAAATCTAAAGAAGATTGCTTTAAATCACTTCTTTAGGGAGATAGGGAAGGAAATTTAACGTTGATCAAGAGTTCACTGGCTAGGCCGGGCGCAGTGGCTCAAGCCTGTAATCCCAGCACTTTGGGAGGCCGAGACGGGCGGATCACGAGGTCAGGAGATCAAGACCATCCTGGCTAACACGGTGAAACCTCGTCTCTACTAAAAATACAAAAACTAGCCGGGCGAGATGGCGAGCGTCTGTAGTCCCAGCTACTCGGGAGGCTAAGGCAGGAGAATGGCGTAAACCCGGGAGCAGAGCTTGCAGTGAGCTGAGATCCGGCCACTGCACTCCAGCCTGGGCAACAGAGCGAAACTCCGTCTCAAAAAAAAAAAAAAAAAGAGTTCACTGGCTAAAAAAAAGAGTTCATGGGCTGGGTGTGGTGGCTCACACCTGTAATCCCAGCTCTTTGGGAGGCTGAGGGGAGGAAGGTTTGCTTGTGGCCAAGAGTTCAAGACCAGCCTGGGCAACATAGTGAGACCCCCATCTCTACAAAAAAAAAAAATAATAATAATAATAAAATTGGCCAGTGTGGTGGCTGAGGTGGGAGGATGGCTTGAGCCCAGCAGTTCCAGGCTGTAATAAGCTATGTTTGCACCATTGCACGCCAGCCTGGACAACAGGGCAAGACTCTGTCTCTTAAAAAAAAAAAAAAAAAAAAAATTCATGGTAGTCTTCACACAGGTTTTTGTTTTTTGTTTTGTTTTGAGACAGAGTTTTCGCTCTGTTGCCCAGGCTGGAGTGCAATGGTGTGATCTCGGCTTACTGCCACCTCCACCTCCTGGGTTCAAGCAATTCTCCTGCATCAGCCTCCCGGGTAGCTGGGATTACAGGTGCCAGCCACCATGCCTGGCTAATTTTTGTATCGTTAGTAGAGACGAGGTTTCACCATGTTGGCCAGGCTGGTCTCGAAGTCTTGACCTCAGGTGATCCACCCACCTCAGTCTTCCAAAGTGCTGGGATTACAGGTATGAGCCACCATGCCCGGCCCACACATTTTTAATTCTGACAAATGTCTCTAGGTTGGGTATTATCAGTCCATTTTGCAAATGGAAGTTGAGGCTAGAGGTTAATAGTTTTTGCCTGAGGTCTTGTAGTTAGTAAAAGTAGAGCTAAGATGCAAACTCAGCTCCGTCAGATTTGACAGTCTGCATTATTTCTGGCAGTTTCACACTACCTTTAGCAGGAAGCAGAGCAACATGCCCAAGAATTGGGTAGTCTAGGCAAACTGTCTTCTTACCACACCCTACTGTCCTGGTGACAGGCGGGGGGCATGGGTCACATCTGACCAACACATGTTCTGTCGGGCCAGCATAGAGCTTAAAAAAAACACTGAGTCAGTGTTGAAAATTGGGAAATTTCAAATATTCTGCCCTAACGATTCCCAAAGGCAATACTAGAGCAGCTGCCTCTTTAAGGAAGTGTAGTACATACCAGTCCCCTCAGCCCCCAGCAATCCCTAAAGTAGTCCCCAGCCCTGAGATTGCACTTTTTTTTTTTTATGGTAAGAAATCTTTCTATGTGTGTGTTTCTACCCCAAATGGAATAACAAAATATAGGTTGAGAGGCTCTTGTTGCAAAAAAAATGGGAAAGACACTTTGGGAGGCCGAGGTGTGGGGATCACCTGAGGTCAGGAGTTCGAGACCAGCCTAACCAACATGGAGAAACCCCATCTCTACTAAAAATACAAAATTAGCCTGGCGTGGTGGCGTATGCCACTTGGGAGGCTGAGGCTGGAGAATCACTTGAACTCAGGGAGCGGAGGTTGCAGTGAGCCGAGATTGCGCCATTGCACTCTAGCCTGGGGAACAAGAGCGAAACTCCATCTCAAAAAAAGAAAAGAAAAGAAAAATGGGAAAGATCATA